GTAGCTGGATCTTGTTAGCCACTATTAATACAGAAACAATAATATTGTACTGAACTTGCAAACTTGCTAAATGTTAATTTTTAAATACACTAAGAATGGTTGTAGCTAAAACCACTGAAGTAGTAAAAATTCTTAAAATATTCTCTAAGCTTAAGATTTGTCTACATGGTACGTGTTTCTTAGGGTTTGCTTGTGTTTGTAGGTATTTGCTTACCTGTTACAAAAGATTAGTAGGTCACTTTAGCTGGTCTCCAGCCTACTAGTTGTTCTTACTCTTATAAGTAAATCTACGATTTGATTATATTCATAATAATAATTGCCTGATTCCTTTAATGTGTCATTTTGAAGATATATGTGTCATTTTAAAGAATTTTTGAAATATGTTTGAAAGATGACATTATGTGTGTTTCAACAACTACCAATTTCTGCTGAAATTAAACTTCCGACATTTCTTTTTGATAGCTCTATAATGAAGAGGTCCTTGACTTGTTTGACACCACCCGTGATATTGATGCAAAAAATAAAAAATCAAATATAAGAATTCATGAAGACTCCACTGGAGGAATTTATACTGTGGGCGTCACAACACGTACTGTGAATACAGAATCAGAGGTGACATTTCCATTGTAGTTAAAATAGAGCACAGTTAACTTTATTTAAATAGCTTTGCCGACAGTCTCTTAAGAATCAAGATAGGAGATTTGTATCTTTAAGCATGACATGGAGTTAAAATCTTGTCTTCTTTCCTCATATTTTTTATCAAGATACGGTTATAACAATGTCAGTTATGGTAAAGTCAGTACATTTGTCATAGCACCCAAAGAATCCAGAACGGTGTATGAATAGTTTTCTGTCACAGCTAGACAAAGAGGGATAGACAATTGATGGTGAGGGATGAGACTATAATCTTTTTGTACTTTTTGCTGTAGTATATAGGACTATATCATGGCTCCTTAAAGGAGACTAATAAACAAAATTACAAAAAAAAAAAAAAATCTCAACAGAAGATTCAGAAGAGCTTGAGTGATTCAAGTTATGGCTCAGCTCGTACCAAAGTATTCTGCTGTAACAGTTTGGAACGGAAGCCGCAAACGTCAGCGAGTGGCAAACAATGGAATCTCAGTGTTTTCTTCCATTTAAAAAAATAATACACTATTATACCAAGAAGTTCAGCTCAAAAAGTAACTGTAACTAAAATAATAATATGAAAATCTACATCTTTTTAAGTCCTTTAACTTGATGGGCTTTCGCCATGAGCTCAGACTTTGGATTGTATAATATCTTGTTTAAGTGAAGGGTGTCCATAAAACTTAAAATAGTTTTCTAGACAACAATTTATTGCACACGAACTTTATGGACACCCTGCATTATTCAAGTGAAATCCTTCTTTCTTCCCCATTTCTAGATGATGCAGTGTTTGAAGTTGGGAGCTTTATCCAGGACCACTGCTAGTACCCAGATGAATGTTCAGAGCTCTCGTTCACATGCCATTTTTACAATTCATGTGTGTCAAACCAGAGTGTGTCCCCAAATAGACACTGTGAGTAATAGGTTCTAATTTCTTAAATGTCCAGCCTTTATCTGCCTAAAACATGAATCCTGGGAAAATAGATCGAGCCAAATTCAATTTGTTCAATCATCCTTTTTCCTAATTTCCTTTTCTGATCCCAATTAAGTTGTCTGACTAAGATTTTGAAATAAAAAAATTAGATCTGTATCTGTAACGAACACCAGAAAGCATACTGTGGCCATAGGAGATGAATGTAGTCACCCAAGACACTTTGCTTTCAAGGGACCTATGCCGTGGGTCCCTTTGTAACAAATGTAGAGCCTCAGTTGGGTTCTGACTTTTCGGCTGCTTTTTGACTTTAAGTTTCTAATGGCTGGAAAACATTATTACATGTATGTTTATTTGGCTACATGCCCATTCCTATATATGATGTATTTACATGGGATAAGGGCTAGGTGGGGTTGGAGGATACTGAAGGTCATATTAATAAAGCATTTTCAATTATGTTCCCTGATTTCAGGAAAATGGGACTGATAATAAGATAATTTCTGAATCATCACAAATGAATGAATTTGAAACTCTGACTGCAAAGTTCCATTTTGTTGACCTGGCAGGATCAGAAAGACTGAAGCGTACTGGAGCTACAGGCGAGAGAGCCAAAGAAGGCATTTCTATCAACTGTGGACTTGTAAGCCCGAGGCTCTGTGTTGGGGATAGTTCTGGCCTTTTCTACTGTCCTTTCTTTTTGTCATACATGATACCCAAGTGAAAGTCCCTCATACACTGAACTGGGGAGTGAAAGTTGCAGTAAACATATTAATAAAGCACGGAATCTCTGAGCACCTCACATTGTAGGCTTTCTTCTCCTTTTTTTTCTTTTTTAAAACAGTGTCTCTGTTACCCTGGCAAGAGTACCTCAAACTCTGATCCTGCTCTTTTAGCCTCCCAAGTAGCTAGGACCACAGGCATGCACCACCACACCTGGATAATTTTTTGAATTTTTTTGTAGAGGCTGGGTCTTGCTTTTGTTTAAGCTAGTCTTGCTTGAACTCTTGGCCTCAAGCAATCTTTCTGCCTTAGCCTCCCAAGGCCTTTTTCTTTCTTCTTTTTTTATTTTTACATTATAGGTTTTCTTTGTGAGTACAGATTCAGTTGGATTAAATTTCATGATATATGCAGAAAATTATATATAATAATTATTTTAAAACTTATTTTCACATTTAACAATAAACCGAGAGAATCAGCACTTAATATTAAGTTATTTTGTGACTTTCTGCTAACATTTTATGACAGTCGTTTTGTTGACTTTGGGAATTATAATAAAATATTTTTGGTAATGATTTTTCAAAATGTGATTTCCTGTGGTGCCCCCACCCCATGTTAGGAATTAACTTCAATACCATGCCACCTAGTGGTATTTTGATTAGAAAACTCCTTATGATTAAATTAGCATAAACGTTCTATTACATGGAAGAAATGTTTTAGCTCAGAGCATATTTTTGTGTAGGACACATTTTCTTCTTACTGTCTTTATTATAAAACTGACCATTTGTGCCTGTTTAAAACTGGACATTTGTAACAGCATCCCCAAATTTCTGTGATGCTGATAGCATCACAGTGTGTTTCTGTTTTTGGTTTCTACCCATCCTGGAGCTGGGGTCCAAACATACAGTACTCTTTTTATCTCCGTATAATATTTGCTCCTATATGATGTGAACCTTCTGTGGAGGAATTATCAGCCGTGGCTGATTAGAGAGCCAGACTTTCCAATTCTAATATCCATCTTGATGCTCTCACCAGACAGTTGAAAATTGTGTAAAGGGGGCGTGACCTGGGTTGTACTTTGCACACTGTTGTGGATTTTTTAAGAGATAAAATCAAAATAGTATTTACATTTGTGGTGCCAGGAAAAGAAAAGCCATTGCTCTGTTTTCCTCATTAGGAGGGAAGCATGTTGAGACTCATCTAGTAGAGTTTCAGTGTGGCCAGTGCTTAAAACTTCAAGCACTTCTGGAAAAGAGGGAGTAAGACATGATGTGATCCTGGTGCCACCTCCTGTGTGATCCCTCGGCCCTAATAGAGACCTGGGTATAGATGTTTGCATTAAAGGCTAGTGTGACCAACTTGCTTATCCTGTAGGTTAAGGATAACTATAGGGTGGCAGGAGGAATGACTCAAGAGTTCTGTAATTTGACTTAACTTTAAAAAATTGGATAGGTAGGGCGGTGCCTGTGGCTTAAAGGAGTAGGGCATCTACATATGGTGGAGGTGGCGGGTTGAAACCCAGCCCTGGCCAAAAACTGCAAAAAAAAAATTAGATGGTAGTACATAGTTTCATTGTATTTCTAAGGACTGCTACACTTGCATAGGAATACCTTGTTCAGAGCAATCACACTGACATTTTTATTGTGATTAAAGGAGATTTTGTTTTCCTGTAAGGGAACTATATCATATTTAATAATAAGAAAGTTTCATGGAACCGTTAAAATAACTAAGGACTTTAATCCTTCATTGAGTTGAGAATAATTTCCTCATGAATTGACAATTTTGTGGGGACCCAACATGATACTCTGATAATTCTAGGGGGGAGTTTGAAGTTGTCACTTTTACAACATTCCTATTGTGAAAGAAAATATCTGAAGAGAAATTGAAGCATTAGTGAGTTCTGTGTACATATGTAGTACTCAATGTGAGTGATATCTGTTACAAATGTAAAATGAAACCAAATACAAATGTTTTCAATTCTGTTACCTCTCCATATTATTCCCTATGAGCTTATTTTATTTGGAAGTGTTATGATTAGTGACGTTGTATCATTTTGCTCTCTTTCTCTCTCTTTTAGTTGGCACTTGGCAATGTAATAAGTGCCTTGGGAGACAAGAGCAAGAGGGCCACCCATGTCCCCTACAGAGATTCCAAGCTGACAAGACTGCTCCAGGATTCCCTTGGGGGGAATAGGTACATATAAATGATTATCCTCTATCCTGAGTTTTGGTTGTTTGTTGTTTTTTACATAAGCTTATAAGGTGATTGATACTGTGTTTCCCCGAAAATAAGACCTACCCCCAAAATAAGCCCTAGCAGGATTTCTGTGCATTTGTTAAATATAAACCCTACCTGATAATAAGACCTAGGCCTATGCAGTGTATCTGCATAGCCACGCCATGCATTTCAGTGCGGAGAGGAAGATATCCCCTGAAAATAAGCCTTAGTGTGTCTTCTTGAGAAAAAATAAATGTAAGACAATGTCTTATTTTCGGGGAAACACAGTAAAAACTGCTTTTATTAATGGGACAAGGAAGTAATACTTGTCATATTAAATACCTAAGATAGTGAGTCATTTTGTGTGTTATTTTATATAATCTTTCTAGCATTTCTTGAGGAAGGTGTTATTATTCCTATTTTATAGATAAGGAAATTGAAATCCAGAGAGACTAAGTAATTTATTCAAGGTCACTCAGCTTTTATATGGTGTTTAAAATCTGTCTTTTTCTGCCACACTGTAATTTCTGTTTAGAGTGTTTAGCACCCAGTAGATACAATTGTTTAAAAAACTAACACGATTTGTTAAAAAACTATGCTATCATCTAAGTAACTTCGAAGTAATTTAAATATTATTAATCCTCTTTTTTATAAAATCTTCTAAAATTTAAACTTTTTTATATGTAGAAAAATGTTTTAAGTGGGAGATGAATGAAACACAGCATTTGCTGTTATTTGTTTTGCTAATATCACTGATTATTCTTCCTTTTCCATACTTTGCCTTGTTCTGATATGTTTCAGCAGCTAAACACATCCTTTTTTTTTTTT